AACCCCCCCCCCCCAGGAAACAGAGGCAGGATCACATGCTGAAAGCCGAGGGCCCGAAGTGTCAGGGGTGTTCTTGGGACACCCCTCCCCCTCGGCTGGTGCAGTGTGGCCTCACCTTGGTGCCAGGCCAACCAGGCCCCCCACCCACCACATAGGGTCAAGGCAGGATGGATTTGGTAACCAGCCAGGTTACAGGGGTGGTGTAGACACATGACCTTTTCGAGTCTCAAGGGCTTCCTCTGTAAAAGGCAAAACCACCCACGTGTGTTTTTTGAGAGATTTAGACACCACCACCTGGGGCCACACCAGGCTGATGTGAGTAGAGGCTGCTACAAATACAGCTATGACTTTCACATAATCCAAGCTAAACTCCCAGTTAATGTTTGCTAAAGCAAAACCTCAAGCTTCCTGGTTAGAGGATAATATTCTTGGTTGGGGACCCCCCCCCACACACACACATGGGGGATTCTGACTGGTGGGGTAAGTGGTCAAGAGGCATTTCAGGGAGAACCAAGGAGCTATTATTGTAACAGTGGTGGGGGTGGGGCACTGGACTTTAGAATGTTAAACCCAGTTCCAAATTTCACACCTATCCCCTTATGTATATTCTTATACAACATAAGGTATGGTTTTGCCTATTTCCAAACTTAATATAAAGGCAATATAGTGTAGAAATCGAATCACATGATTCACCTGTGTTGGTATGAAAGGTATTCTATCATATGCTATAATTTATTGCTCACTCTAACCCTGAGTTAGAACTCAGGGTTAACACTTGCTACGTTCAGCCCTTTTTACTTTAGTTATTTTTTGAATACGGTCTCACATATTTGCCTAGGCTGGCTTGGACCGTGATCCTATTTATGTCTCTCTCATAATTAAGATGACAGATACATACTGCCATGCCCAACTTTTATTGGTTGAGATAGGGATTTTGATAACTTTTATCCCCGGCTGGACTTGAACCATAATCTCTCAGTCTCTGCAACCTCATTAGCTGGGATTACAGGTGTAAACCACGAAGTTTCTATTTTTTTTCTTTTTCTGGTGGTACTAGGGTTTGAACTCAGGGCTTCCTGCTTCCTAGGCAGGCAGTTGACTACTTGAGCCACTGCACCAGCCCTGGTGTGTGTGTGTGTGTGTGTGTATTTTTTTAAATAGGAGCTCATGAACTTTTTGCCCAGGCTGGATTTGAACTGTGATCCTCCTGATCTCTGCCTCCTGAGTAGTTAGGATTACAGGCATGAGCCACCAGCGCCTGGGCCATATATTTTTTAAGGCAGGAAAAACAATGTTTTGAGAAAAATAATCTATTTAAATTAAATTAAAAATAAGCAGTTTAAACCAAAAATGTATTAACAGCAATAATAACAATCCTATAAGCAAGTTGTGTCTGTCCCAAGAATTTGATGGTTTCCTGTTGGAAAGTCTACTGGTGTGTGGGCGGGGGTTTTACTCAAGTGGTGCTTGCCTAACAAGCCTAAGACCCTGAGTTCAAACCGCAAAAAAAAAAAAAAAAAAAAAGCCTACTCATGTAATTGATCTCATAAACAAATCAAACACCCACATGTCATCTCAAGAGATGCAGCAAAAGCATGCAATAAAATACCCATTATAAGTGCTCATACTTTGTTGTGGTGGTGGTTTTCTTTAAAATGAGTGTTGTTTGGGGGCGGGGTGGGGGGTGCTGTGACTGTGGCTCAATGGTAGAACACTTGCCTAGCATTTAAAGCCCGGATCTGATTCCCAGGACCAAAAGAAGTAACATGCTGTTCATGGAAAATAAAGTTCAATAAAGACTGCAGTGCCTTATTCAGGTGTCTGCCCTATTCATCTTTGTTCAGATGACTTCACAAGTCAGTTTCAGCTCTGTTTCTGACCACAAATAGCATCTCTGGCAAGTCTGCTCTGGACTAGCCTTGGTCCAATCCCTGGATTTCATGCAGGCCCTGTCAAGTCTTCATCCCGCCCAGTGGACTGTGCGTGGCTCTTGTACTTCCAAGAGCGCCCCCGACGTGGATAGGCCAGGCTGGCTTCTCACGCCATAGGTCCTCCGGCAGCACTCCGAGACCGGTTCTCCTCTGCGCGGGCCAAGTCCCCGGCTGCGCCCGGGGCAGACAGATGAGCGCACTCCCGAGGCTGGTGGGTTTGCCTTTTGGTCTCTCCTAAATTTGCCTCGCCTCTGGGGAAAGGATGGCGGGAAGTAAAGATTCCATGCAGAATCAAAGGCTCGGCCCTCCAGAGTGCTAGGGGCCGGCTCTTCCGACGTCCTGCTAAGGGACAGAGGCCCCAGGTGGGGGTAAAAAGTGGCCAATAAGAGGTGTTCTCAAAGGGCGGCGGTGGAGGTCAGAGGTGGAGCGAGGCAGGGACCGCAGAGACGCAGTCTAGTGACGGCAGCCTAGGAGGAGGAGGGATTCCAGGTTAGGACCCCGGAGCGCGGCGTACTGAACCTGCAGGGGATCAGCCTGGATGACTCACACCAGAACCTCCTCCCGGTCTGCAGAGATAGGCTGTGGGATGGGTGGAGTGAGGAGTGAGTAGCTTTTCAGCCTCGGCGCTGCGGAAACTGCGGAATGGAGGATGAACCTGAGCCTTCCTTACAGCCTCGGAGCCAGGTGACCCACCCCAGTCATTCCCGGCTCCTCTTACTGTGCTGTGCACTTGCGCATGCGCCTCAGGCCGCCGCCGCCTGTAAGGTAGCCTCTGTGCACCACTGCGCCTGCGCATGAGTCTAGCGGCCCCGGCCAAGGGTAAGCGTAGCCTGAGCCCTCTGCTGTGCCGACCGCCCTCCTGCCCACTGCGCTTGCGCATCCGCCTGAGCCTCCGCGCGCTTGCACCGCTCAAATGCCCATGCGCGTGCGCTGTCTCCCAAACTTCAGCACCGCCCACCTCTCAACGTGCATGTTCTCCACCGACCTACGCCTGAGGAGGCAAATGTCCGCTGTCGCATAGCACAGCCTCGCTGGCTTCCCCACCCTGGGATGCTGAACTCTTTCCTTGCGAGTTTGAAAGCTCTGAATTCCAAAACTTACCCAAAACGCCCAGGCGTTTCTAAATGAGGGAGTGCGGGCCCCGGCGAACGACACGGGTGCAGTCACAATTGAAGGCTTAACGAAGGTGTCCAGTACACAACCTTGTGCGTTGTATGTACAGTGGAGTCAGGTGCGAAGCTCAGAAGACCATAAGGATGCCCTGTGGGCGGGTGCAAGGTTGCCGGACCCGAGGCATCCCAGGTGGGTCTTGGAGCAGACCGGACATGCTCCGGAGGCAGTACCCTTTTGAGCACTGCAGTCCTGGCCGCTCGCCCTCTCTTTTCCTTCTCCATACTCCTCAGGTGCTGGTCCTTCAGACAGATGCATGGCACATTCCCTCACCTTCTTCAGTCTTTGTGCAAATGTCAGGCCATTTTTCGTGACCACACTATTTAAAATAGTACCATCCTGTCCAAACACTTACCCCTTTTCCTAATTTATGTCTCCTTCTTAATACATATTTTGCAATTGCCTTCCTCCCTTAGCTGGAAGGAAAACGCCCTGGGGTCACAGATTTTATCTCTTTGTTCACTGTAATGTCCCTAGCACCTGGAACAATAGGTTTATTGCCCCTAGTAGAGGGAGGAGTAAATATTTGTTCATTGAATCAGTAATCACTATCATAAGTAATGTTTGAATGGTTAACTTTTTTTTTTTTTAAGACAGTGTCTTAAGAGGCTGGCCTCAAATTCATGATCCTCCAGCCACAGCCTCCCAGTGCTGGGATTACAGGTTTGCACCACCACACCTGGCTTGAATATTTATCTTGATCAAGCATGGTTATAGACAATCAACATGCTTAATCTCATTGAATTAAATAATTTTCTGCAGCCTTGGAGACCTGTCAGCATTGCCTACCATGTGTGCTCAGTTGTCATCAAGTTTGTGTCTCTTGCTGCTTCCTACAGTTCTGTCTTAAGGAAACTCTCCCTTCACGAAGCTCCCTTAGAAATGCAACATGGCCCAGGTGGGATCATTTTCCTTCCACCTAGTTTCCTCCTATGAGTTCCGGCTTAGGAGAAATTTGCTTAAGCCATGTAAGAATTATGTGCAGCAAAGGTCCCTGACACGGACCCGTCTTCAGATCTGCAGCAAGGTCTTCAGCAAGATCCTGCTCTCCAGAGCTTCTTCCTGGGCTTCCCCACCCCCAGAAAAGTATCTCACTGAACCGTGAGTGTACTTTTGCCTCCTGGCTATATCATCTCCCCAGCACCCTTCTTGGCTGGAATAAACATTATAGACAAGGTCTGGAAATACTTTAGAAAACCTTTAGCGAAACAACCTGTCATAAAACTTGCATTTAAGCATTCAAAAAGTAATTATTTCAAGACTTTAAATCAGCAGGACAATTTGCCAGGACAAGAAATACAGTATGATATTTTGGGGGGAAAGGTCAATGATTTGGTTTTCTAAGGTCAACTACTTTATGAATGCGAAGGAAATTATCTGAGGGAAGCAGTTCATCGTTGTGCCTTTAGGGGAGTAGAGAACTTTGTATACTAAAATTTTCAAAAATTTTAATGAGCGGGCTGGGGGCATGGCTCAAGGTGGTAGAGCACCTGCCTACCAAATGAGGCCCTAAGTTTAAACCCAGTAAGGCAAACAAAATCTTGATGAGGGCTAGTGTTGTAGCTCAATAATAAGAGTGCTTGCCTAGCATCTGGGAGGCTCTGGGTTTAATCCCCATCATACACACACAAAAAAAATCTTAATAAATATCATGTATGTGTGTGTGCTGGACATAGAACTCAAGGGTCTCACAAATGCTAGGCGAGAGCTCCACCACTGAGCTCCACCCTCTACCACAAGCATATCATTTTGTAATTTAAAATCAGGAAAAATAGACTGCAACTCCCTAAAAAAAAGTAAGATAGGACATCAGGGCCCTTAGTTCTTCTGGTTGAGTGCCTTGGGAAATTTTCCTCCCATCTCTAAGGGGGTTGCACTAACATGGAAAGCTGTGCTTTGTTATAGCAAGTATTCCTGGCACATGTATACCCAGCCCAAAGCCAGATATCATCTCCAAGAACAGGCTGGTGGGCGGTAAGAGGAGGCCAACCACTCTCTGGGGGAGCCTGTTACCCTGGGGGAAGTCACTGGGGCTCAGAGGCTCCTGCCAGAGGCAGAGCTTCACTTCAGTGGGTCCCCAGCTCAGGACTGTTTTCCTGAACCACAGCAGGCATGCCCAGGGGAAGTCCAGGAAACAGGGCCAGGAGCTGTTTTCCATCCCAGGAAAATGCCAAGAGGGTGCAGGTGGGGTGAGAGTGGAGCAGAAAGCTTGGGTTTCCCTACTGTCTGCCAGCCTTGTGACCTAGGTAACTCCTCTCTGTGTGCCTCCCAGTACAAAGTGGAGACATTGTTACCTAGTACAATAAATTGTAATGCTGTGATTGGTAGGTCTGCCCCAGGGAGGGATGTGGAGATTGTTACTAGTCATTCTGTGTCCTGCCCTGTCTCCTCAGATCCAGGCCAGAGTCCTGCTCCTGACCATCTGTGCAGCTGGCATTGGTGGAACTTTTCCATTTGGCTACAGTCTTTCCATCATCAATGCCCCAACCTTGGTATGTACCTTCTGTACCCATTATCACTATGTGAGTGGGTATGGGGTGGAGGCCAACAGCTGCCCACCTCTAGGCTTCAGCTCAACATCCACTTAGTAGCAAAGTGCTACTCACATTCCCCTTTCCATTGGGATACCTTACTGGTCCCTTGAGGTTTAAACAGAGCTCTGCATCCTCCTGCAAACCTGTGCCCTCCTGAGTCCCTGATCTTAGCAGATGACTCTACATTCTATCTAGTAATGAGGGGAGATTACCCTTGACCCTTTCCTTCCTCTCTTGGATACCAAGACCTTCCTAACTACCTCTAGAATCTAGCCATTTCCCCCATGTCCCCAATTCTGACCCAATTCTGAGTCCTCATTAGATTCCCTCTTTCCCTGTCTTCCCCTCCCTCCCTTTCTCTTCTTTTTTCCTTTTTTTTTTTTTTTGGCAGTACCAGGGCTTGAACTCAGGGCCTTGTGCTTGCTAGGCAGCTGTTTTCTCACCCGAGCCACTCCTCCAGCCCTCCCTTTCTCTTCTTGATCCCCTCACATTCTCCAAGTCACTTCCCTGCCCAGAAACATTCTATGTTTCTTCCCAGTGCCTAAAGGAATGACAGACTCATCCAGCTCAAGTCTAAGGCTTCCTGGGATCAGAACCTCTCCCTCTGCCTTCTGCCTTCATCTCCTCAACCCAGATAACCAAGTTAGATGTCATCCCCCAAATATCCTTTTTCTAAGCCTCCTTCTACTGGGAAGTCCTTTATGCCCACCTGCAGAAGCCTACCCCAAACATTTCCACCATCCCAAAGCCTTCCTTCCCTCCCTGGCCCTCAGTGTTATCACTTCCCAGGCTGTCATCACTCCAGCTTGTGTTGGCCATTTTGTGCCCATCTCATTTCTCTTGCCTTGTGTCTGAATCATCTTGAGTTCCCAGCACCTGACACTGCCCTGACCCATGTCAGTTGAATCTTTCAGTCCCCATGATAGAAGCTCACCTCTAACTTGTTTAAGAAGGTCAAATGTGCTGGGCACCAGTGACTCACACCTGCAATCCTAGCTACTCAAGAGGTACAGATCAGAAGGATCACAGCTCAAAGCCAACCCAGGCAAATAGTTCGAGAGACCCTATCTGGGAAAAAAACCCATCACAAAAAAGGGCTGGTGGAGTGGCTCAAGATGTATGTAGGCCCTGAGTTCAAACCTCAGTACCAAAAAAACCCCAAAATTTCCAGAATAGGCCTGTGGCTCTTTCCCCTGCCTGGCTTTGTTCTTCACTCAGTGGGCAAGTGGGCAGCTATCACCAAATTGACTCTGAGCTGCCAAGGCAGGAGAGAGTTGACCCAACACCAAACCTACTACCCTCCCTCATGTCTTGTCAGGAGGATTAAGAGCAGTATTTCATCCTTAATCAAGAGAACGCTATTAAGGACTTCCCCATTCACAGTCTTTCCAAAACATGTGGCTTCCATGCACAGCCCTGAGGTAGCAGCTGTGGAGGGTGAGGCTCTGTGGAATCTGAATTACCTGGGTGCAGCCCTGACCTATGCCTGAGGCCATGGGCAAGTCATTTCAGCTCCCCTGTGCCTCACAAAGTAATGTATGCATAATCGGGCACAGTCATCCCTCAGTATCCAACAGGGATTGATTTCAGGATCCTGGGTTGATTCCAAAATTGCCTGGATACTCAAATCTCTTTTATAAAATGATATTGTATTTGCATAGAACTTACACAATCCTCGTTTAGATTTTAAATCGTCTCTGATGACAATAATACCTTATCCAATGTAAATGCTACGTTAATAGTTGTTCTACTGTATTGCTTAGGGAATAATAATGAAAAGTCTATTCATGTTCACTTCAGATATAGTTTTTTTCCTGAGTGTTTTCCCCATCTGCAGTTGGTTGAATCCACGCATGGGGAACCTGTGGATACAGAAACATGGCTCACTGAAGATAAGTCCAGGAGTTTTGTTGTTGTTGTTTTGTTTTGGCATTGGTACTGGGGATTGAACTCAGGGCTTGGCACTTGTAGACAAGTGCTTTTACCAGTTGAGCCATACCCCAGTTCCAAGTCCAAGAGGTATAAATATCACAAAAGATAATTCATAGAGGATTGACTGGGGCGTAGAGAATGCATACAAGCAAGGGTAGACTGCTGTAACCATATAAAAATACTAATTATGCTCTAAGGAAACAAGAAAATAGTTTATTCTGAACCAAATATGAGTGCCCATGGTCCAGGAACACAGATTCAAGATGCCCTGAATGACATGTTCCACCATGGAAAAGGTCTTAATAGTCCCAGAAGAGAAAGTCATGAGTGCATGAGGTAGGTGGGTTATAACAAAACGAGGATTTAGAAAACAGGATTTAGGATTTAGATATTGTCTTTATCATATTCTTAGCTTTAGGGTTGGTGGGGGCTAGAGGTGTGTCCAGCTTAGTGATGCATCCCAAGAGTTTTATGGACGTCAAGAGAATATTAGCCCCCCTCTACCCTGTACATCTATTATATGATAAATTTATAAAAGTGAGTGTTAGGTCAGATATAGAGGTTGATAGTAAATGACTATTAAAAGGAAGCCGGGCACCTGTGGCTCATACCTGTAATTCTAGCTGCTTAAGAGGCAGAGATCAGGAGGCTTGTGGTTTGAAGCCAGATTGGGCAAATAGTTCATGAGACCCTATCTCAACAATACTCAGTACAAAGAAAGGTTAGTAAAGTAGCTCAAGTGGTAGAGCACCTGCCTAGCAAGCATGAGGTCCTGAGTTCAAGCCCCAGTACTGCCAAAAAAAAAAAAAAAGCAAAAAGCTAAGGAATAACCCAAGGTAATTTTGGCTCTTGATCTCCAACATTCTATTTCTCCACAATCAGGATGTTTTAGTCAGCCAACACCAAGCTATCTGCAGGATTGGTACAAGCTATCTGCAGGATCAGTTCATAGTTGTAATGCAGATTGAGAAGCACTGTAGTCTTATCATTCCCACACCCAAGAGACAAGTGGAAGGAGCAATTGCTTTTTGACCTTTCAGCTAAGATCAAGTGTAGAAGCCATATAACAGAGCACAGTAATGGTCAAGGATTATAGCCAGCCTGAAGTGACCTCACAGCGAGGAGACCAGAGGGAGCCCCTACCTCCTTCTCTTGCCACCTCTGAGATTATGCTGGTGTTCACCATTGCTCATATCCGACAGAAAACCAATCCACAAGGGAGCCCAGTGTTGTAGACTGTTCAGGAGGCTTCCTGGGGCAGCAGCAGGATGGAAAGGGACTTTAGTTGGCTTGGAAGATATAGTATAACCAGAACTACATTTGGCCTTTGCCCCTGGTTCCTGGCACCAAGCTCCTGAAATCCTTGGAATTTCCCTAGTATGGAAAGGAGCATCTTTTGTTATTTGGAATGAGCTCCTTTTGATCATACCTTAGTTTATGCTAGTGTTGTGGCTTATGGTGGGGCCCCCAGATAACCTCAGAAAGGCCAAGTGATTAGAGGAGGAGAACTTTCATCCCCACCCTCTGACTTTGGTAAGGGGAGAGAACTGAAGATTAAGCTCTGTAAAAATACTTGAACAGCAAGATTTGATGTGCTGTCAAGTTTGAAACACCGAGATGCTAGGAAGGTGGTGTGCCCAAAGAGGGCGTAGAAGCTTCTACCACCACCCCTTCCCTAGAGCCTTACCCTGTGTATCTCTTCCATGTCACTGTTCCTGAGTTGTATCCTTTATAATAAACCAGTAAACATAAGGAGAGTGCCTGAGTTTTGAGAGCTGTTCTAGCAAATTTTTGAACCTGAGGAGAGGGTTGTAAACTCCCAATTTATAGAACACTTTGACTTGTGGAATTTGATGCTAACTCCAGGTAGAAATGGATTAAATTGTAGTACACCTAACTGGTATTGAGAGGTGGAGCATTGCTTAGTGTAGAAAACCTCCACATATTTGTGGTCAGAAGCATCGTGTGTGTGTGTAGAGGTACAGTGTAATCCCAAAGTGGGCAAATGGCGAAGGACCAGCTCTAGGCTACAAGAGATACTGAAAGTCAAAGAAACCAGCACATTGGAGGTGCTCAGGTGTTAGTTCTTGCCCCATGGGGCGCAGTATTGCTCAGGCAATTTGGTGTTTGCTCTCCAGAGGCACAGAGACCTCTGGGTATGTGTGGGTGGGGAGAGGACTGTCTTGTCCAGCACCATTTCCTTACCCCCATCCCCAGGAATCTAACTGGCTTCTCTGTCCACAGCACATTCATGAATTCATCAATGAAACATGGTGGGCACGTACTGGTAGGCCTCTGCCCAACCACCTCATTTTGCTTGTGTGGTCCTTCATTGTGTCACTCTACTCTCTGGGGGGCCTCTTTGGAGCACTGCTCACCGGACCCATGGCCATCACACTGGGAAGGTAAGTGCTTCTGTTACAGGAACTGGTGACACTCCAGGAAGGAGATCTCCAAAAGGGAGGAGGCCTCTGCCTAGTCCTTGGGTACCAAGTAAAGAATTTTAGGACGCATCAAGATAGAGATCAAGAAAGTTTATTAGTAAAACAAAGCTGAGGAAAGATAGAAACAGTACACAGCCCAGACATGGGTGCAGGCACATCTGATAACAAGTGCAAAAAGTGCTCTAACATCAGGGTTATTTATGGTGAAAAAGTAAGTTGGGGGTTTGGCAGGAATTTACCTTAGGAAAAGGGCTTGCCTTTGTTCTGACACCTGGTTTATTTAATCATTCTTGCTGTTACTTTGTTTTATCAATTGGGCCCAGAGACTTCAAAGGAAGTTCCTTTTAAGATAGGTGTCATCTTTGTAAGTACTTCTTGTACCCAGAGGAGTCATTTTCCCGGGTGTTCTTCCCAGGATAAATGTCTTGCTTTAAGATATCCTGGCTTAGTTTCCAGTGCACACTATTTTTGGGCAAGTGGGCAAGGTCAGGGGAAGGAGATCTGCTCTTTTTCCCTTTTGTTTTTTTCTTTTTTACTAAATGTTGCAATTTACTGAGAGGGCATAAGGCTTAAAGCAAAGAAAACAGTGCCTGCGTGCTTTTATTCAAGACATTTATTAATACCGTGTTTATCACTGAATTCCTGGCTGCTGTTTCCCAAGCCTCATTTTCCCTGATCTAGCCTGCCTCACTTCCTGGGTACCCCCAGCATGCCCTTTAATGGGGGGGGGGAGTGTTAGAGAGGGAAGATGTCCAGCGGACTCCAGACTCAGATCAGCACCTCAGGCAGCCTCTTGCTCTGCCTGTGGGTTAACCTGGCTAGTCACATTTTCAAGGAGATTTAGTAGAGTTCTGTCTGTTCAAGGAGGGGATACTCCTGGTTGCTCAGTCCATGTCCTCTGTGTTATTTGACCTTAAGCAAGTGTTTTCTCCCTTGGCCTCACTTTCCTTCTATGTATCTCATACAATTCTTTGGTTGCAAAACAGAAGAAACTGGTGCTGGAACAATAAAAATTATAATGACTGGAAGTATATTGAGGTGACTCCTAGAATGGAAGAAGTGCTTAAAGCCAGGTCTTGAGAAGGACGTGAACCAGGGTAGGGCCAAGGTTTCAATAGGCAGAGCCTTGGACTCTTATTTCTAGGGAAGATGACTTCAGCATACTCACCTTTAGCCACATTCTGTCTCCAACATCTTCCTTCAAGGTCCAGAATCCAGGAGGATAGGCTGTTATTGATACATTTTGAGTCACAAGATTAAATCTGTGGAGGACTGGGAGAGAAGCAGTTCCAGTAGAAAAAACAAATGGCTACCACACTCTACCCTTTGCTAGTTACTAGAACATGTGTTCATGTTCTATTCATGGAGCGAATACAATCTCCACCTCCTGAGTAGCTGGTATTACAGGCATGAGCCACCAGACCTGGCACTATTTAATATTTTTGTACCATCATTGACCTTTGAAACTGTGGATAAGGGTATCAATAAGATAGGAAGAGGAAAGAAAGAAGAGTAAAATTATGAAAAGGGACAGGGTGGTAGAATTTCTTTTAAAGCATATGATGCAGAAAGCCTGCATCATATGCTTATTTTTGCTTGCTTGTTATGTGACCTTTATCCTCCAGTTTTCTTCTCTCTCTCTCTCCCTCTCTTTGTCTTCCTCTCTGTCTTTGTCTTTCTCTCTCTCTCTCTTTCACAAAAAGAAAAGGCTGTCCTCAATCTCTTGATCCTCCTGCCTCAGTCTCACAAGTGCTTGGATTACAGATGTGCACTGCCTCAGTCTCCTAAGTGCTGGGATTACACATGTGCACCACCACATCCAACTGGTTGAATTTCTTTGCCCATTATGGTGACCCAGATACGCATTCTTGAATGGGCTTGGTGGTCCTGATTGTGTACGATCTTCAGGGGTTGTTATATTTTAAGGTCATCTGCTTCTGGATGATGGGTTCATGGCACAATAATGAGATCCATTGATACCAGCCCTTCTCCCTTCATAGACATAACTTCCTTGATTGGATCAAAAAATGCTTAGGTATCATGTCTTTCTATTTAACAGATATCTGTTAGGGCATCTTCAACTGCAAGAAATAGAAAACCACAACCCAATCAGCTAAAATAATAGGAGATCTTTTATCTCCCACAACAAGAAGTCTATAGATGGCTGACTTCAGGGCTGTTCAGTGCTCCAGCTCTGGTGCTCTGAAATTTCCATAGCTACAGTCTCTATTCTGTGCCAGCTTTTGTTGTGGTTTGGATATGAAATGTCCTTCCCAAAGACTGAGGTGTTGAAGGTTTGGTCCCCAACTGGTGACACTATTGACAGGTGATTAGACCATGAGGATGCTAACCTCATTAATATAGTAATCCATTGATGAGTTCACCGCTGAGTGGACTATTAGGAGGTGAGGTCTTGTTACAGGAAATAGGTCACTAGAGGTGTGCCTTTGAAAAGTATATCTTGTCCCTGACCCTTTCAGCTCTCTCTCTGTTCTTGGCCACTCTGAGTAACTTTCCTCTGCCATAGCCTTCTGCCATAATGTTCTGCCTCACTTTGGGCCCAAAAGCAATGGAGCCAGCCAACCATGGACTGAAACCTCTGAAACTGTGAGCCAAAATAAGAATTTCTCCCTTTAAGATGTTTTTCTCAGGTATTTTGTCATAACAATAAAAACTATCGAACAGCTTTAGTCTCAGGTTTATAGTTGAAAAGCTATCAGCAGTGCCCCACTCAGATGCAACAATAGAAGGGGAATTTATTTCTTCCTGGGTGATACTTAGAAGAAAAAGAAACTTTCAAAAAAAGTACCATGTTTTGTTGTCCAGCGTCAGGTTATTAGCCATCTTGCTGCTACAACAAAAATACCCGAGACTGTGTAATTTATAAAGAGCATAATTTTTTTTAAGTCTAAAGACTGAGAAGTCCAGGATCAAGAGGCACTAACAGATTCAGTGTCTGGTGAGAGCAGTTTTTTGCTCTCTGTGTCTGTATCCTCATATGGCAGAAAGATTGAGCAGCAAAAGGCAAAAAAGAGTTAGGAGTATAGCTCAGAGGTAGAGCACATGAGTACCATGCAAATGCCCTAGATTTAATCCCCCAACACCCACACCCACACAGCATAAAGGGCCAATCTAGTTCCCTGTAGCCTTTTAAAATCATTAATCCCATTAATCAATGAAGGCAGAGCCCTCATTGCCTACTCACTTTCTGAAGGCCCCACGTTTTAATACTGGTACACTGGCAATTAAGTTTCAACATCAATTTGTAGGGGACACAAACATTCAAACTATAGCACTCACTTAGAGACTGTTTCATGCTATTGGCTTCACAACTGAACCATGTGGCGATAGGGGCACTGTCCAAACAAAAGTAGGGCTCTTCCTACAAAGAAGAAGGCAGTAATAGCTGTTACCTGAGCATCTAGTGACACCTGGTATGATATCCCTAGATAACAGTACTGGTATAAGCTTGAAGGGATAGAAAATTCAAATTTGGCACATATGCCTAGTTGAACTCCATTCAACTCCTGTCCCATGCCCAGTGGCAGGGACCTAGCGCAGCACTTCCACTCAGAAGCTGACTGAAGCCTTGAGATGTGCGGCTTTATTGTGTGCTCAGGGTTGGTATTTGCTATGGTCTGGATAAGTGTCCTCCAAAGGTCTCTGTGTTGGTTACCAAGCTGTGGTGCTGTTGGGAAGTAATGGGACCTTTCATAGGTAGGGCCTTACTAGAAGGAAGTTAAGACCTTTGGGGGCATGCCCTTAAAGGAGATATTGGGACTCCAGCCCCTTCCTGTCTCTTTCTTTGCATCTTTGCTGCCATGAGGTGAACAGGCCTCATTCACTACACACTCCCACCATGATGGGAGCCCAAAGTAACAAGGCCAAGTGACCTGAATCTGTGAGCCAAATAAAACTTTTTTCCTTTAAAGTTGACTATTTTAGGCATTTTCATCACAGTAATGGAAAGCTGACTAACAGTTGGGTGGGGTGGCAGGGTGGTAGAAAGCCCTATCCTTGAGCCCATGTGATTCTCCATCCTTGCCACTCTGGTTTCTTTGTTTATGAACCAACCGAGCTTTTTCTCATTGAGAGGATAGTAATTCACTAAAGTAGACTGACTTTATTCCAAAACTCGAGGTCAGGTATTGGGATTCTCCTTTTAGGGTATTCAGTTACAGACACTTGGAGCACCATAGGATGTCTGTATTAGTTACTTTTCTCATCACTGTGACAAAATACCTGACACGAACAACTTAAGGCAGTAAGGATCTTATTTGGGCTCATGGTTTCAGAGGTTCCATCCATTATGGCAAGGAGGGTGTAGTAGAACAGAGCAGTTCACACCATGGTGGACAGGGGGGTGGATGGGACAAGGTACAGCCCCCAAGGGCATATCTCCAGTGACCTACTTTCTCCAGGTAGGCCTCAGCCTCCAGAATCTCCCAAAATAGAGCCTCTAGCCGGGTACCAAGTGTTGAACATATGAGCCTGTGGGGTACATTTCATACCCCAACCATAACAATCTCCTAGGTCTAAAGAGTCGAGTGGAGGGGCAGCTACTTTTGGGACCCTGGCCCCAACTCTAGGGACTCTACTCTTCCATTTTGCACTTCTTCATCTCAATAAATGCTCCCACTTTACTTACAGTGTCAAGTAAAGTGACAGAGCTCTTTTTTTAGTGGTACTGGGGCTTGAATTCAGGGCCTTGAGGACACTTGGTAGGCAGGCACTCTACCACTTGAGCCATTCTGCCAGCCCTTATAGAGCTTGCTGAACTTGGTTTAGACCCACTAGTGAATATTCCTCCTGCTTACCTCCACTCAGAGTTGCCAGGTTTTCAAGTCACCTAATGTGTCAAGTCACAATATCTAATATGATATGTGCTTATATTAGTCAACTTTTCTGTTGCTATAAGAAGGTACCTGAGGCTGGGGACTTTTTAAGGAAAAGAGGTTCATTTAGTGTGGTTCTGAAGGTTTAAGGACATGACACTGGTGTTGGTTTTGCTCTGGTGAGGACCTCACGGCCGATGGCATCCCAGTGATGGGAGCACAGGCAAGAGGGGAAGAACATACGGAAAGATGGGAAGCCAGAGCGAGGGGAGGGGACAATAACGACCTCCCATTAGGCCTCACTTCTTATGGGTCCCACCACCTTCTTAACATTGCCACACAGGGGACCAAGCTCCCAACACATGGACTCTTAAGTGACAGACCATACTCAAATCGTAGAAGTGCTGCCTGCAAAATGGAAAGAGCTCTCTGAGATTTGCCCCTCCTTCTCGGGTGCAGCAGTTCATCAGGCACTTTGGAGGAAGTATGCTGGCATCTTAGTCCACGGGCCTCAGGAACGTCATTGACGTGGCAGATCCTCATTTTTAGTCTTCCTGCTCTATGTCATACCTGTACCTTATCAAGACATCTAGTGTCCTTGCTGCTGTTCTCCTCCAGGTCCTCTCAGTATGAACTCATCATAGTAGTGGACCACCAGGATGTCCCATGGAATCCATAGATCCCTGTGGAATAGATTGTGGCCGTCAGCTAGAGAGCTGCTGTATCCTTAAGGCAGATTGGATAAGGTGTATTACCATCCTTGCCAGGTGACAAGGATGTCTTTGTATTGAAATGGAGCAAAATGCATTGGCAAGAGCAAAGTACTGTATTGTTAATAATTATTATTAATGGAATTTATTGTTTCCAGTGAGAAAACCATATATTATTACAATTGCAATTACTAGTTACCACTAGTTTGTAATCTTTTGTCATTTTCCATACTGTAGTCTCAGGAGACCTAAGCTTTGGTTCATATCCTATTGCTGATGTGCTCTTATCTCTGGGCAGAACACTGTCCTTCTCTGGTCTTCAGTTTTCCCACCAATACAGTAAACGCTCCTGGGCAACCTGTTTAATAGCACTTCTGAGCTCCACATCAGGAGCCCAAAAGTGGGGTTTCATCATGTTGGAGCAGATGACATTTCTCATGTTCCCTTCCTTGCTTTGGAGTCTTGATCCCCCTGAAGTGACTTTATATATGATGAGAGAACTGTACTTGGCTTCCCACGCATCCCTTCCCTGTTCTTCCTCATGAGGGTTTTATTTAGTCTGAGAAATTACATATTCATTCATCCACTTTAAAAAGGAGTTCAGGAAGAGCAATGCTTCATCTAAAGAGGAAAAGCAAAACAAAAAAAAATTGTCATTTTAAGCTGCTGTGAGGCAGAAAGGAGAATAATTTGGGGGCATATTAGGAGAGGACAGTGGGAGTATGCACCCCAAGACATACAACAAGTGAACTTAGGGTTTTCAATTCACTTGGTTTGTTTTCCTTGAAACAATTCATGCACACACATGTTTCTGAGTCTGATCGGGGCTTGTTGGAGTTGCAAAGAGGACATGGTCTCTCTGGACTGCAGCAGAGCCTCTCTTGCCCGTGTTCCATTTCTCCCAAGGAAGAAGTCCCTCCTGGTGAATAACATCTTTGTGGTGGCTGCGGCGATCCTGTTTGGCTTTAGTCGCAAAGCAGGCTCCTTTGAGATGATCATGCTAGGAAGACTGCTCATAGGAGTCAATGCAGGTACCTCCTCATGCCTCTCTGTTCCTATTCATTCCTCAGTTCCTTTTCTTTCCTTCCTGTATTCCTTTTATTCATTGACTAATTATTCATTTATGCCCACCTGTTTTACAAAATGATTAAATATGGCGTATTTTAAAAGATTGAAATAACTAGACATTGGCAGTAAATATAAATGAAAAAAAGTTGTACAGCAATGGGGGGAAATCCCCCAAACTTATACTAAGTCCTGTGTTTGAGTAACACTCTAAGCATGAGCTTCCTGGCAGCCAAGTTATAAGGAATATAGGATGAATTCTTTGATCTTCCCTGCAGAGGCAGAAACTCCTCAGTTTCTGGGTATCTTCATGTGAGGGAGCAGAATTTTGAGTACATCCACCTGGGTATTTAGGGGCTCCAATCGACAAACATGTCTTGACTCCCCTATTGTTTATACAGTTAGGTGCTAATGTCTATTTTAATTATCCGTTCCTGTGACACAAATTACTCCCGTATTTAGTGACTTTAAAAAACTGACATTTATAATTCCACAGTTTCTGTTGATTAGGAACCTGGGAATGTCTTAACTGGGTAGCTCAGGCTTGAGGTCTCTCAGGAGGGTGTGATAAAGCTGCCCGGCAGGGCTGCCATCATCTAAAGCTTTGGCAGGGGCTGGAGGATCTCTTCCAAGATGGCTCCCTCACATGCTGCCTCGGCATCATGGTGCTGCTTGAGTGTCCCTATAACATGGCAGATGCTTCTCTAGAGTAAGTGGTCGGGAGGAAGGGAGAGAGAGAGAACAAGGAGAAAGTTCTAGTGCCTTTTTTGTCTCAATTCTAGAAGTTACACACCACCAATTTTTCCACATTCTGTTAATTAGAAGTGAGTCACTCAAAACAACCAACTCTGCAGGGGAAAGGAACCAGGTCAGACATTGTGGTGCCCTGAGTACCCAAGCAAGAAGGAAGGAAGAGCAGGGGGACCCCTCAGACTCCTTGGCCAGTCACACAGTTGCCTTCCTCTCAATTCTCTTCCCAGCGTGTAAAGAGAGAGCCAGACATTGATGGGAGATGTTTCTCCATCCCAGGCCTGGGAGGGAGGTGGTGCTGCTGCACTGCCTGCACCATTCCCAGGCTTTTCATGCTCCATACTGTGGTCTCCTGGCTTTTGCTGTTGTCACCATCTGGGGTGGGTGGTGAAAGTGCTGTCCAAGTTCTGTGTTTTCCCACTGGCTGTGTAGGTACCAGGTACATCCAAGGGGAAGGCAGGGTGAGGTGAGAACCTACACTGTAGTTGTCAATGAAAGTGTTGACATGAGAGCCTGGACAACTGGTGGGCATCCAGGATGCAGTCCTTTCCTTTTCCCACCTCTGCCTCGCAGAGACTATATTATTCATCTTTTCATCACTGTAACTAAATACTCGAGGTAATAAACTCACAAAGAGAAAAGGGTTATTTTGGGGTCCTGGTTCTGGATGTTTCAGTACAAGATAAAGTGGTTCCTTTGCATTAGATTTCTGGCAAGGGCAACCTATCACAACAGACCACTCTCTCTTCATGATCCAGGAAGCAAAGAGAAGAGGAAGAGACTGGAGTCCCATTATCCCCTTTAAGGTCATACCCCCAGTGACTGAAGAATCTCCAAAAGGCCATACCTCCTAAAGGTCCACAGCACCACACAACAGCCATACCCTGGGGACCAAGCCTTAGCACATGGACCTTTGGGGGACATTAAACATTTAAACCACTGCAGAGACCTTAATACCTACAAACATCCCATGAAAATGTGGGGCTGTGGTGAGGGACCAGGGTGGAAGCTGATCTAGAAAAGACTTTCTTTTCTCCCAGAAATCGTGAGGAATTGAGTTGTGATACTATTGGCTCTACACCAGACATGGTGGAGCTCCTCAGAGTATGTGGGGTGAGAGAGCACCCCTCAGTGCAAGAATCCAGCAGATAAGTGGCTGGGTGGTGATGAGGGAGGCCCCTGAGTGACCAAGTGTTGTGAGGGTCCCTCCTGGTGACTGATGTGCCCCTGCTGTGCACGTGTCCAGGTGTAAGCATGAGCATCCAGCCCACGTATCTGGGGGAGAGTGCCCCAAGGAGCTCCGGGGAGCAGTGGCTATCACCTCAGCCGTCTTCACAGCCCTGGGGATTGTGATGGGGCAGGTGGTTGGACTCAGGTAAGCACCTCTTTCCCCTGTGCATTGAGTGACTTCAAAGATGCCAACAAAAACCTTTCCTCATCCAACTTCCTCTCACATCCACCAGATAGATTAGGATATTGCTCCTTTGCACGAAGGCATTGAAGTTCTGAACACATCCATGTTCCCAATACACAAAAAGGGTATTGATCAATCACACACGTGGGAATCACTTTTTCCCATTCTCTCCAGGACACTTTGCAGAGAACGGGTCTTGATAGGGGAGAAGGTGAAGATTTGGGTTTTTAAAGGGGAGCATGTCCGGGCATCCCAGGACATAGAGGAGAGGACAGAACCTGGATCCCTGGGGAGGGGAGTTGCTAGGTTTGAGTTGGGGCAAGGACCCTGCTCTCTCTTGGTTCCTACCTTGGTGAAAGAGATCTTGATGTTTATACAGAGATGGACAGACAGAGGCAAAGGGCAATGCAACCCTCTGCAAGCAGATTAGCAGATAGACAGGGGGCCAAGGGGAAAGGTGGGCAGGACTGTGGAAGGAAGTATTTGTCCTATCCTGTCTTCTCACTCCCCAGGGAGCTCCTGGGTGACCCACAGGCCTGGCCCCTGCTGCTGGCCAGCTGCCTAGTACCTGGGGTGCTCCAGCTCACATTCCTGCCCCTGGTTCCTGAGAGTCCTCGGTACCTCCTCATTGACCGTGGAGACACCAGTGCCTGCCTGACAGGTGAGTCCCTGCCATTGGGCCCCAGACCACGCTTAATCCAGGGATGCATCTCACTAGACCATATCAGTCCTCATTTCTTGGGGTTTATTTATTAGGGAAAAGTCATCCTTCTATTTGTGCTTCAACTTCATGATCAAGCCATAGCATCCCTTCAAAACTGTTTATCAAGGGGACATCTTAAATTGTAGGACAGTGGGATAGGTCACATCCAATCCCTTCCATCCAGGAAACCCAGGGTGGTGCAGAGAAAGAGCCACACGTATATGCAAGGTGAAGCACCTGTGTAAGCCTTACCTGACTGTCAACTGGGTGATGATTATTTTATCAGTAAACTATAGCTATAATAAGGATACCCAAGAACAATTGAAAAATCTCTGGCTTAAAGTAATAATCATTTACGACATATTTTACTCATTTAGGGAGCCAGTTTCACACTGCTGATCTCAGCTGGGCCAGCTCATGGCATTGTGGCTCGTGGCCCTTCTAGGCTAGTCTGGGCTGTAGAGACCTGAGCTGTACACGTCTTTCCTCTCACTCATGGTACCAGTGGGCTAGTCTAGGAATGCTCTTAGTGTGGTGGTGTCAGAGGTACGAGAAAGCAAACCCAGCTGCATAAGCACTTTTTAAACCTTTAGCCCCCTTCACATCCTTTATTCCACTAGCCAAAGGGAATCACACTGTTAAATAAAAAGCCAATCTATACATCTCTTCAAAATTTTTTATCCAGGGGATGTCTTAAATCACTGGCATTCCCTCTCCCAAGGAAGAGGTACAGATTTAGAGAAGAGCAAAGACCAGGGCCCATGAATTCCTCTTCTCCATTTGTCATCATAGGTACAATTATGCATGGCTCTGCCCCATGTAACAGATGTTCAGTCCCATCCAAAGATTCCCCCAGATTCTCATCCAGTCATGTCATCAGCTTAAAGACCTGGCTTTTAAGATCACATTAAGTCTGTATATGCCTTTTCTTGATCCAGAGTCTTAAGGTCTAAAAAGACAAAGCGTCTTTTCTTGTACTTAGCATATAATGGTGAAAGTGAGACAAGGGAACCAGAATTAGTAGTCTGATTTTAAAAATGACAAGGTAAGGACAAGTCATTGATCCGTAACAGCAATTCTCAAGAGTCCCTGGGAGCATATTGCCAGGTCTCCCTTGCTTGGGAGTAGAGAATGTTCCTTGATCAGGCTCTGGCTCTGTCCTCTGGGAGGGGCTTCTAGGTTATGGTTTTCCAAGATTCTTGCACCTCCCCTCTGAGATATTATCCCTTTTCCACTACCTTTCTTGACACCTTCTGAAGAGAGCATTGGAAAATGCTTTTGGTGATTAAGCAAATTTCTCAACCTGCTTCCTTCCTATAGAAAGTTGGGGACACAGAAGTCATTATATTTCAAATTGTTTCAGTATCTTTTAGTCCAAGCTAATAGAGCTTTTGCCAATACAACTTTCTCAAAAATGATTTCAGTTTCCTATGTATTTCACTTACGTGCTGAGAGAGAGAGAGATTGAGATTGAGATTTGAGGATGGGGTGAGGGCTCACTGTGAGGGGGAGAGAGATGTCTGAGGATAGGGTGAGGTCTCACTGTGAGGGACCAAAGAGGGACTGAGGGAGGGGAGCTCAGCACCCCTTTCCCCATCTCAGCCCTGCAACGGTTGAGGGGCACAGCAGATGTGGCAGGAGAGCTGGAGGAGATGGAAAAGGAGCATGCCACCTTCCAAGGCCAACGTGCACGGCGCCCGTGGGAGCTATTCCAGGATCCAGCCCTGCGGAGGCAGGTGATAAGCCTCGTGGTGCTAAGCAGTGCCATGGAACTCTGTGGGAATGATTCGGTGAGGTCCCTTCCCTACCCTACACCCTGGGCCCAGGGGCTTAAGTAGCTTGGAGCCATGGGAGGTTGAAGGGAGCCAATGCCTCAGAGCTGCCCCTCCACTGACTCAATATTAGGTCTATGCTACGCCTCCTCCGTGTTCCTGGAGGCAGGAATGCCCTACGAGAAGGTCCAGTATGCCATCATTGGGACTGGTTGCTGCGAGCTCCTCACTGCCTTTGTTAGTGTGAGTTGGGATCTGAGCCTGCCCTGCTGGGAGGGATCCTCAGGTACTGGTGCCCCTGGGACTGCAGTCTTCCAAATTAAACCATTTTCCACTGCTGCCCACACTGTCAAAAATGCAATGAGTCATCAAGCATTTATTGAGCCCCTACTGTTTTCTAGGCATTCAAACCATCATTTTGAGATGAGAAAACAAAATGAAGTTGAGAAAATAAAATGAAGTTGGGAAATTAATAAAACCATAATCTCCTGAATCAATAAACTACTCCCCCTAGCTTCCTTGTGAGGCCCCTCCTCATTGCCTGCCCCCAAACCAAAGGGATAGTAACCTGGTGTGTGAGTAATTCTTGAATTGCTCCTTTCCCTTGCAGTGTGTGGTGATCGAGAGGGTGGGATGGCGGGTGCTGCTGATGGGGGGATACTGCCTGATGATCTGCTGGGGAGGCATCTTCACAGTGTCTCTGTGTCTGCAGGTACCAGGGGGGTGAGGGGAAGTAAGTGGCTGGGCCAGGCCTATTTCCTCCTCACCCTTACCCCATCTGCTACAGAGCTCCTTCCCCTGGATGCCCTACCTGGCCATGTCCTGCATCTTTGCCTTCATCCTCAGCTTTGGCATCGGCCCTGGTGAGTGGACCCAAAAAGCTATGGGCTCTGGGCCTTGCTGCAGGAACAATGGGTATCTGGGTGAATGACGGGTGGGTGTGCGTGCAGGATCATCCAAAGACCCCAGAGCCCACCTGTACTGAGGCTTCTGGGAGTCAGTGGCTGAACTGGGCTTACTGGGAGCACACTGGGCCCAGGTGTGAGATATGTGCAGCAGGGGACTCTAGATGAGTGCCCCATCACCACTACTTGCAGCTGGAGTGACGGGAATTCTGGCCATGGAGCTGTTTGACCAGATGGCCAGGCCTGCCGCCTACGTTGTCTGTGGTGCTCTCATGTGGACCATGCTCTTCCTGGTCGGGCTAGGGTTCCCCTTCATCATGGTAGGATCACCCCTCTCCAAAGTGGGGTACCCTGCCTCAGGTTTTTTTCCCCATCACTGAGTACCCCAGAGGGAGGCCTCCCTCCAGGGAGACTGAGGGGAAGGGGTCTTACGTGAACAAAGGAGACAACTCCCTCCTCACCGTTGACTTGATATGGGCCTTCCATTGAGGGCTCTGGGGGCCACACCAGGTCTTGGGGTCTCTTTTAACCCACAGGAGGGCTTGTCCCACTTCCTCTATGTTCCTTTCCTCTGTGTCTGTGTCTGTGGGGCCATCTACACTGGCTTGTACCTCCCTGAGACAAAGGCAAGACCTTCCTAGAGATCTCTGAGGAATTGCATAGACTCAACTTGCCCCAGCGGACTGGAGGCCCCAAGTGGAATAACCTGGAGATCATCCAATCCACAGAGGTCTAGCTGCAAAGGTGTGACCAGAGCCAAAGTTGTTGTGTCTGAAACATAGGTTTTCATTTCTTTTGTGTCTTAGTCTCTTTGTACTGCTAAAACACAGTATCTAGACTGGAGTGGCTTATTACAAATAATAAAAATTTCTTATAGTTCTGAAGGCTGGCAAGTCCAGGATTACAGCATTGGCAGATTTGGTGAATCAGGGAGGACCCACTCCCCGATTCATAGCCAGTTCTCTTCTTGCTCTAACTGCACATGGAAGAAGGGCTGAGAGAGCGTCTCATAGGTCTCTTTTAGAGACGCTAATCCCATTCATGAAGCCTCTGGCCTCATGACCCAAAGGCCCCATCTCCAAATACCATCATATTAAGTATCAAGACAAATGATAATCAGATATCTCCAGAGAATAATGATATTTATTTGGGAATGGCAGAGCACTGCAATGGGAATGCTGTGTCATGGTAAACTATGGGTGTCTCCAAAGCCAGGCAAGGAGATGATTTTAAAGGAAAAAAGGATGAAATTTCCCTAAGCAGCTTGGATAACAAAGTTCATTGCTCTTGGGGACCATGCAAGTGTCCAGAACATCTTGTCTGAATAGTTACAGCCTTAAAGAATGTTAAGACAATTTGTGTTACAGGAATCTGTACATACATGGTAAGAGTGCAAAGCATGGAGTGTACATAGAATGAAAAGAAATCTCTTTTAGGCCTCATGTTAGTTGTCTTGTCTTACTATGACAAAATACCTGAGACAAGTTAACTTAAGAGGAAAGGTTTATTTTGGCTCTGGCTTTCAGAGATTTCAGATTATGTTGGCATGGACCCATTGCCTTTGGTCTTGTGGTGACACAGTACATCATGACAGGAGTACCTGGTGAAGGAGCGTCACATAATGGCAGCCAGGAAGGAAAAAAGAGAGAGGAGGAGCCATGAGTCCAACCACCTCCTTCAAAGGCGTACCTACAATGACTTCATTTTCACCCACTTGGCCCCACATCTTAAAGGTCCACCACCTCCCAATAACACCATGACCTGGAGACCAAGCCTTCAGCATATGGCCTTTGGAGGACATTTATTCAAACCTTAGCAGGCCTTTAGAAAGTCCTTGAAGAAACTATTGAGAAGGATAAAAAATTAAAACATCATTATGTAAACTAACCAAGATTAATGAGAGGCTGCAAAGGCCAGTGAAAATCTTGTGGAAATGCAGCAGAACAAATGTTATAAGGAACATCTAGACAAACTTTTGAGTTAATGTCTAGAAAATACTTGGGAGCCAGAAAAGAAGAAAAATGCTAAATTAGGAAAAGCTAACTGCTACAAGAAACTTTCACCAAAGTTAAATGGAGTTTAGTTTCCATGGTGACTGAAAAACCAGTCAATTTGAAATAGATACTCCAATTAATAGGCTAAGACATAAAACAGTTTTAGCACCAAAAGCCACCTAAATTTTGGAAAACGTAAAGCGCTCGGTGCTTCAGGGGAAGAAGTCCTCGAGAAAGTACTTCATCTCAGGCAGGCATGAGTACTTCGCACTTCATAACTTCCTAGCTCTGGATTTGTCTGGATCAGACAAGAATGATTTTATCATTGTATCATCAACTTTCACATGGGGATTAGGTTTCAACATATGGAGGGAGGGACAGATAAAATTTAAAAAGTCTTTAACTTCTCAGGTAAATAATCATCAGGCTAAATAGTAAATGTACTTTTAGCTGTATAAGTGATTGCAAGGTAGTGCTTTACATTCATGCTAACAAAACAGATGTTAGAGATCCACCTTTCCCTAGGGCACTGGGACGGGAGTTAAACATTTTAGAACACTGTTAAAGTATTGTTACTGATAAGCTTTTGTTGTAAGCACCCTTCTGAAAGTTTATTTTTCCTTTCTGCTAAGATGCTGGAGGCTGGGGAGACTTAACTCCCTAAATGACAGTTGCTAGGCCTTCCCTCGGGCCCCTGCTGCCTTGAGCAAAGGTCTGTCAGCTAGGCAGCTGGACAGCCTTCATGCCAACAACCAAAGCAGGACTCCAGTTCCAGAAGACATTGTCCCAGCAGGCAACTTTGCACAGGACTTTTTCCACCAGGTAGTCACTTTCACAGAGGCCAGAGTGGGAGCACTTCTTCCCCTGGTGGCCCAGCAGAAGACCTGTCATAGATGACAAGGATTATGCCATGACTGGTGCATACACAATCCTTCACTTCCATGATAGGCCTGCCATGATTGGTACAGATACACTTGTCACAGTTCTTTTCTGGCTATATAAGCAGGCTGCTCAAACTCACTTTGTGAACAGATGGGAAATACTCTCCTGTGTAGCAGTGGCAGGAGGTAAAGAGAAAAATCGACAACAGAGTGGCCCAGCAGCAGTGGCTGGAAGGGTGGCTGGGGCTACCCTTGGCCACAGAGTAGCAGTGGAGCCAGCAAGTGGTTCCTATGGTAGCAGGAGCTGTCAGCAGCAGCAGCAGCTGGCCAGCAGCAGTCAACCAGACCTCTTGCAACAGAGACAACAGAAGCATTGGGACAGTAAGAGCAGAGCTGGGCAGCTGAAGTTGCCCGAGGTGAAATAGACAGGGGCTGTCTACAGCATAGAATGTAAAACTGACATCTGAGGGCAGTGATGAAAGTGAACCTGACAGCAGTCAATCTGGATCAGCAGGAAAGAGGCGCCCCCCACCGCAGCTCCCTGCCAGGGATGCAAAAAGCTCTAACACTTTGGTCCTCAGCTCAAACCCCAAGGCCCAGAACCCCAGGCCACTACCTAGGTACCAAAGCCCACGGCTGCCTGCTCCCCACTGCCGTCCACTGCCGCTGACTCACTCACTCGCCATGAGCCCAGCATAACTGGAGGAGCTTCGCACATACCCATGATTTCCACCTGGGTAGAGCAGAAGGTTCCCAGCCACCCAGCCAGCTGGTATGTGACACTAACAATGCATGAGACTTTTGCATACTCCAAATTCTCACTAATACTTGGTATTGTCAGTTAAGTTTTCAAGTTAAGCATTCTTGTGCTATTTCCCTAGTTGAGCGTCTTTTTATGCGCTCAGTAAGACCATTCAGATATCTTTTGTGAAAATCTGCTTCTTTTGCCACTTTTCAGTGGATTATCTTATTAGCCTTAAATTGTGGCTTTCTTTATACATTTTGGATGCCGGTTCTTTGTCAGGATATATATATGTTGTAAATTTTTTCTTGCATGTGTAGCTTGCCTTTTTTATTTTCTTCAGTAAGAACAGGAAATTTTATTTTGAGAAAGTTCAATTTATCAGTTTTGGGTTTATTTATGATTCATGGTTTTTTGTCCCAAAGACATTCTTTGTCTGAAATTCCAAAGATTTCTTTTAAATTTTTAATAGTTTTAGCTTTTACACTTATGTTATTGATCAGTATCAAGTTAACGCTTGTGTATAGTGTAGGAAAGAGATGCTCTTTTTATTTTTAATGGATAACCAGTAGCATCAGCACTTTTTGTTGAAAAAATCATCTTTTACCCAAATGAATTACTTTGGCACCTAAGTCAAAAAATCAACTGAGGGCTGGCATAGTGGCTTAAGTGGTAGCGTGATAGCTAGCTAGCTAGCACAAGGCCCTGAGTTCAATCCCCAGTACTGCCACAAACAAATCAATCGAGTATTGTTGCATAGTAAAGAATTTGACCGACATTTGGCTGGAAACTGTAGCTTATCAAGTACAAGTGGTAGGATAGTGTGTTCTCTGAAGACAGAAAAATCTCTGGGTCGATGGCTGGAGGGTGGCGGGCAGGAGTGGGTTAAGTAATAGTCTCAGGCGAAGGTGACCCTGGACTGGCTTTTCATGCATAGGATCAGCAGTGGCGTATTTTAAGGCAAAGCCATCCAGAGGCAGCAGCATTGAAGGATAGAAATGAAGCCCCTGTGTCTGACAGATGTGGAATCTTTTAGAAGGCAGGCAACAGCCTCCCCAGGGGTCCTTGTGTGTTCACTCTGTGTCTCTGTGTCATCTGGGTATTTCTGCCTCTGTCCAATGGCCTCCCCAGCTTATCCTTGGGCTGCAATGGCTGCCCTGGCTGCTGTGGTTACAGTCCTCCAGTGAAATAATTGTTGACAAATGCCCCTGAGATCCTGTGGTATACAGGCTATGAGCAGAGCAGAGGTCAGATAGAGCCTTGGTGCCCTGGTCCCCAGGCTGGGCCCATCTCTTCAAGCATGTCATGCTCACCCCATCTGCCTTGCCAGAATTGGATCTGAATGAGACTGACTTCCCTCTGGGATTGAGGGATGTGCAGTTAGTGGGTGCTGTACTGGGAGAAATGGAGAGATTGGAGGGTCATTTGTGGGGGACAGAGAAAAAAATCTGGCCTGGCAGCTGACCTGTCTCTGCTGTGCCTGCATGTCCGTCCAGTAGGAGCATGAATGTTCACATGTACCTGGAAGGTACTCCTTCCAAGGGAATCCAAGGAACACGGCTATGCTCTCAGCTTCCCCCACTCACCCAGGTCCCAACTAGCTCTCCAAGACCTCCTCCCAGAGCACTTAGCCCCTCTCCTGGCCTGAATTCCTCCCTCCC